CAATATTCCGTCGTATGCCAGTCAGATTTAAGTTTTTATATAGGACATTGTTGTACGCAGCCGTCGAGTTGCGGGCACACCGAGCACTCTTATGACTTTTCATTTTCGATTATAATTTTGATATGGATCAGTTTAAGTTGATGTGTGTTCCTCCCTATCTTTAACAGATGATATTGTGAAAAGACGACGGGATAAGACACTGGAATTCATGTGGCATCCAAGTAAAAGCAAACCTGATCTGAGTATTCTCGGGTATGTGCATGACCCTTGTGGGTGGTTGGATTGTGTCATAATCTATATATAAGTGATAGCGTCCACCCCTGTATGGAATGCAACACATCTACAACTTCAGCATTATGAAGAGCCGCACTGAAGGAAGTTTTCCTGAACTTATCCTTTGCCTTTTAGATTGGTATTGTACGACCACTATGGCCCACCTGATAGTCTCAATCTAGGGGACGGCGCTGAACCCGTCAATGATGATAGTACTTTGGACGAGTATAACATTAAGGAATTCGTGGACCGTTTTGTACATGCCGCTGTAAAATATGCCGAGAGTAGCATAACAACGAACGTACTGTTTCCTATGGGCGAAGATTTCTGTTACAGGTATTTGGTTGCTTGGAATTAATGGTGGAAGTATCGGCCTATGCTGTGCATTCCTCGAGTTTTTGTTTCGCGAATACGATTCACAATTGTGCATGAGATCTATATGATATTTAAATTCTTGCATGACAGGAATTCGGAACCATACTATAAAAATATGGACAAGATAATTCATTATATGAAAAAGGACGGCCGAGTCAATGCCTTTTACTCGAATCCCGAGATCTATGTAGATGCAGTCAAGAAGGAGACCAAAGCAAGCAAGCATGAATGGCTGCAAAACAACGACGATTTCTTTCCCTACTCTCACAATCCACACTCCTACTGGACGGGGTAGGTCATTGGGTGGCACAGACCGTTGTGTTGTAGCCTCTTTATCGACTATAACAGTTGACAGTATAGTGTAATTTATATTTCGATTTATCACATATGCCCTGCAAGATCAAGTATACTACAAATTTGCAGTGTTTTTTCTCGCTTCTCACGACCCCCTGACAGACGGCAGTTTCATGTTCTGCCGGATGCCCGAGGCAGGTGCAGGTTTCTACATCGAAGTGACGATACACTTTTTCGTGTCTCGTTTTCAGATATTTCACATCTAGGCCAGCTGTCAAACGACTGGAAAGGCAAGCGATGAATGTGCTGATGGCTTGTAGACAGGCGGAGATATTCACGTCTTCTAAGGATGAATTTAAGCAATCAAAATCTTCGTCATCTCTCCGCCTCGCCCGCGCTATGGCTATTGTACAGCATCACGACGGTGTTTCCGGGACCGAAAAACAGTTTGTAGCGGAAGATTACACTAAGCGTCTATCTCAGGGTGTCAAAAAGTGCGAAGATGTTATTTCTCGTGCGTATTTCTGTTCTAACGACCAGTTTCCGGTTGAGACTGCGCGTAACAACGAGATGGAGGGTCGTGAGTCTGATCCTGCCTTACTGGAAACGTGTTTACAGGCTACCAATACGAGTATTTGTGCCGGCACAGAACGAGCAATCGCTGGCGCTGAGATAAGTGTGGTCGTGTATAATCCTCTAGGATTCATTCCTGGAGCAGCTGAAACTGCCGTGGAAAGAACTCAGAAATTATTTAATCTTAAGGATTCTCAGAAATGTCGTACGCAGGAAGTCCGTTTACCAGTGAGTGTGCCTGTCGCCAGTGTGAGCCGCGATGGCAATGATAACGAAATGATTCCCTTCCGAACCCTAAAAATCGCAAGCGCGATTCAAAGCCTTCGAGAAGATAGAGGTAATGAAGTCTACAGGAACCAATGGTTTGTGATATGTAAATGTCTTTCATGGCTAAGCCTCCTAGGAATAATGTATGTATACATATTGTACCTACATTTTCCGCATGATAAATACGTGTCCAAGTATATGTTCGGCTGTAACGTCAAGTAGCGAACTCACAATTTGTACATTCAATCACTCATTTTGCTACAGGTTCAGCTACCCATGAGGTAGTCTTCGATGCATGTGTAAGGCCTCTTGCATTCTCTCGATACCTTATAAAACTTCAAAATAGCTCCGAGTTTAAATCAGAAGAAACTATCTCAGCCCAAGCCAAACCCGACGAGGCACTCAGACCAGGAGGGCAAAACGACGACGCCGCAAACTTGTGCAACACTCCTTTCAGAGTTAGCAATGGCATAGTTACGGTGGAATTTGAAAATATGAAAATCAAGATGAGTTGCACACTGGGTGTAATTACTCATATCGCAGGCGAAGATGGTGAGGATATAAAGCTTCAACAAGAGTTCATGTACTACGAATCAAACAATGGGTCAGCAGAAGTTAATTCTCCATCAGGTGCTTATATTTTCCGACCGGTATCGCAGACTCCTGAACCAATCGAACCCAGTAACGAATTGAAGATAGTTGAAGGATCGCGCACGCGGAATGGTATGACAATCGTGCGGATCTATTGCTTGACCCATTCGTATCTATTTGTCATGTGCAACTCCCCACTGTGGATATGAATACTATCTTTCACTCCTAGCTAATGTTGTCAATATGCCGATATGACATTGACAGGCCATCTACTTGAGGTCCGCGTCCACATCAACCCCTGGTTGAGTCAAATTATACGACCTGCCGCAAGTACGAACGAGAAAATGCTCGATGTGAGCGTTGTGGTTGGACCCATACCTGTTGCGCCAAGTATTACCGAATCATCAGCTTCAGCTACACAGGAAATGTCACCTCAAGCTGCATCCCCATGGGTAGGTAAAGAGGTGATAGTGCGATACACAACAGACATCAAAAGTAAGGGAGTGTTCTACACCGATGCGAATGGTAGGGAAATGCAACGGCGCGTGCGCGACCACAGAGAAAATTGGCCACTCAGAGACACCGAACCAGTCTCCCGCAATTACTATCCGATAAATACACGTTTGTCCATCCGAGATGAACAAATGGATTCGGCCTCGAAGTTGATCAAAACTCTCAACTTGTACACGGATAGGAGTGTCGGCGGGTCCAGTATCAGCGATGGACAAATTGAGCTTATGATCCACCGCAGATGCCTTCATGACGATTATCTAGGAGTGGGCGACCCCCTGGATGAGCCTGGTTACGTATCTTATCGTAAGTCGTATTCTATACTCATATTTCGCTAGTTCTGCCCAACACTAGTTTCCAATCTATTCGATAATTTTCTGGCGAAGCAAATGCCCGGTGTTTCTTAATATGTTTTCATCTTCGGACTACCACTGATCATTAGCTGGCTGGAAACAGACCTCGGACTGTAAGGCCGACGGTGTTCGGGAGCCAGAGAATGATAAAGACGTGACCAGCATTCTCTCTAGCGACATATCAGGTATGACCATCCGCCTGTTGGGTTTTTTTTCGTTGGCACAGATATAGCTTGTAAGCCAACTTGGCTCAAATTTCGTCCAATTTGACTTCAATACAGGATTCTGCGCTTGCGATGAGACACATAAGGTGAAGTTTGATTGTGGCCATGAATCTACTAGCTGTGCAGATGCATGTCCAAGCTCTCCAAAGTGCCGCTTCCGACGCACTGGTGGATGTGACCCGCATGGTCCTAGAGAACCGGCTGGGGACACGGACTGTGACGCTACGATCATCCACGGAATGTCAGGTATATCAAATTTGTAGTCGATTGCGATTATGGCGTACTTAAATGTAGGCTTTTTCTAGTCGAAATTCAACTCGGTGATTAGAATCTCATTGTAACTTAATTGGATACCATCCTATTCTACAGGTTTCTGCGAATGCGATGGTGACTACACTGTGCCCTTTACTTGTGACCATGGTCCGATTAAATGCAAAGATGTGAGTAATAAGGAGAAAGCCGATGCAGCAATTGATTTATATCCTGTAGAAGCACACCAGTTGGGTTGAGTTTTAAATTTGCCGTTGTTTTTCCTGCCCATCTTGTTTATTTGTCGAGCATCATTATTTGGCCCATTTGAAATACTCTGATATTCCCTCCGATCCTCACTCATCTGGCACGGGTACCTTCCTATTTAATCGAAATCAGGCCTGCCTTATGAATGTCAGAGATCTGAAGAAAAGAACCGATCCAAATCACAATGGGCTGATTGTCAACAACATGCATCGTCTCCATCTAGGTACTTATGTGCTCGACGTCAAGTTTACTTTCTGCTTCATATGTCTATGATCATGAAGAGCACTTTTGGCGTTCTTGTTATTTCGAATTGAGATTAGGGATTCTCTGAACATATCACAGACACCATTGGTAATCGAGAGAAACAGGCGCGCTACATGGCCATGGATATGGCCTATCCTCTGGTGACGATGGTCACAAACTCCACATTGAAGGGCGAAAGTTCCTCATTGCTCAAGAAGTATGTAACATGCTTCGTGAAACCGAAGCCATATAACAATATAAAGCAACGCGATTTCCTAAGGAGACATGTATCGTCGTTTTCTTACCGTTCTAATTTTCTATCTTTATATCTGCGTTAGATCCCTTCCTGAGAATATCCATCTGCAAAGTTTAGAGATCCTCCGTGCACCAGATGTGCTTCTTGTGAGATTTGAGAACATAATGACGACAGGTAAATTGAGTTGTATGGCACTTGAACGATTTTCTTTTTAATGAGAATTTGGACTTTTACGTCGTGTGAATTTTGTTTATCCGCCCATGATCAGTATCTAACACTTGAAACTCAACTTACAATTTGTCAGACGAGAACGGTGGTCAAAACGATGTTGTATGCTTCAATGTTCGTGATGTCTTCAACGAAGACATTGTGGGGAAGATAGTAGGGGCGCAGGAAGTATCGCTCACAGCAAATACCAAGAAGGTGTGTACTGCTTGCCTCGATGCAGCTATCTTTGTTCACGTGCGCACGGCTACAGACCGCATCTACTCATGCATTTCCAATACCTCGAGACCCGTACTCAGTGCATTCTCATACTCTTCACAATGTTTGTGCAGGAAAGATATTATTTGAGTCGAGACGACAAAAAATTGCCAAAGAGTTGTCCAGCATCGACCCCATCCGAACTGCTTGTGGCATTGGCCCCGATGGAAATCGTAACGTTAGAACTTCAGGTCGCTTGATACCAAGCATTCACAAATCTCGTCAGAATGCCACTCGAGATGCCAACGAATCCGACATCAACAAATAGAAGTACAGCTTTCAGATAAACATTAAATTTTGTTATTCTCCGTCATGCGCTGTGTACGACCGTACAAACAACCTTGTCAATTCGAAATGGCTGAGCGCCGGATGCAATCTAATGTATTTTATTTATTGGCTGCGGCCTATGCAACTAATTTTTTCACTACTTCCTCACACACTTTCACAATAGGAAATGCGCCAATACTAGGTACGCTGGCCTTCGGAATGTGTCTGTTACTATCTCTCGGTCCAGTTTGCATCCGATTCCGAATTACTTCGACGGCAGTCATATGCTTTTCCATATCAGCCAGAAAATTTCGAATCATCTTTATCAGCCGATTCTTCTTGTCACTTTGCGATAGCTCAGATTCAAGCTCATCGGCATTCAATTCACCACTAAACCTACCACCGCCATTGACGAACTGTCTTAGAATGTGAGTAATCACTAGTGCTTCTTCGGGGAAGCTCACGCACGATGCCACCACACCAACATATTGCGTAAGTAGCGCCAAGGTTACTTCTAAGACGGCCAGTTTACAATCCCGGCTATTCATCCACGTAGTTGGAATGACTGCCAACGAGCCCAGTGTTGCCTTCACTAGTTTAGCACTGACATAACTACTGTTCTTCTCTCGCGATGACATAGTCTTGATGGAAGCACTGCCATAGCTTACGAGAGGAGCCAAGGCAAACCCGATCGACACATGCACACCACTGCTTCCGCCCTTAATTAACAGCAAAAGTTTCGTTAAATGCAGTCGGAATGGCGCTGTTCGATACGAATCCGCGACGTCAATAACGTTCATGCTATTGACAATGACTTGAATCAAAGGGTAGGCCAATGGTGCGAGAACGGCCCGTGTCTCAGGTGTCATAGCATTGTCTGTGCCTACTAATGCGTGGGTCCAAAGACTCAGCTGGCCCAAGTGTGCCCACGAAGTCACGCGTGCAAGTGCCTTCCGCTTTTCTTCTTTCGCCCTGTCATTGGCAGCAATCACATCCGCGGTATTTGCCCATTCGTCATGATCGTCTATGTTCTGCATCGCTGATGACACGGAAATGGCCAAGTCGCGCATGTATACAAATCCACACGTATACGCCGAATTCGGGTCCATGGCCATACTCTCTGTGCAACATTTCATCAACATAGCCATCCTACTTTCTGTGTCGTACAATTTCACTAACTTCATCTTTGTATCCATCTCTGTATCTTCTGCTGTGTAGGAATCTAACAAAACAATCGGAAAATATGAGCGAATAAATATTCAATATGGCATAAACGTAGCAGGTTTCGAGTACAATCTGTGTGATGTTCCAATATAGTCATATCAATACAGTACGGGTGAATAAGATGGCCATTTAACATTAGAGTATGCAAACCATTGATTGGCACATTTAGCCGATACGATACTCTACTTTGTACAACCAAAGCCAAATATACGCACTCATAGCATTAAATAACAGCAAGATGCGATAAGCTCACTTGGACCTACTGCGTCATGTCATAAATCAACCTACTTACCTAGACTGGCGGAGCAAGTATCCAACATGCTGCACGTAGAAACATATGTCCAGTATAGGCCACGCATACAAAGCGTAAAGAATGGGAACGGCACAGTCAGCGCAAGCGAATGTATGATCAGATACGCTGCCTCGCGCACCTCGACATCGGCGTGCGATGAGAGAAGCCCCAGTGCTTTCTTCAAAACCCATTTCGGTAAGTGGGTGCAGGCTCCTATGAAATGCACCAAGCTCCGCACGCTTTCAAGCATTGTAACTGCATCAGCACCCTCTCGTTTTTCAATGCTTTTCATAAGCTAGAAGATATACATAAATGAAGTATAGGAGTCAATTGTTGAAATAGACGATGCGCAAGCTTTGAGCGCTTGAACATACCGCACGCTGACGTACTAAAAAAATACATGTAATGGAAAAGAATAAACACAACAGTGTATATGGCAACTTACGGAAACGATGACGCCGCATATGGTATTTTCCAATTCATGACTCCACTTTACACAATTGCGCAATGCGTTTCCACGCTTCAATAGCTTCGCCTCCCCGACAGCAAGTTCTTTCAGCCATAAGCTCTTCACCTCTGCTGAAACTGACTCGATGTCGGTGGGATGTTTCGTCCGACACATGCTCGCCAACTTCGCAACAAAACTAGTTTGATCGTCAATTGGTATACTCGTCGCGCACGACTGAATGTGCTCTTCGACCTCAGCTTCCAACTCCATCTCCTCCCCAGTGCCAGCCATGGTGAAAGGGTGCGTCAGTG